TGGGAAAGCAGTGGAATATATGTTTTATATCATCTAGCTTACTATAAGTTTTGTCCTGTGTCTGTTCCCCCCTCTTCCTCCTCCTCTTTATATCTTACGACTCCTTGAGTACATAGACTAGGAGCCCCTTGTGACTGGTGTCTTAGGGGAGGGGTATGAAGCTTACTCTCATGTTATTTTTAATCTAAGGCTTAGCAGGTACTTAGTTGCAGAACAATGCTATGATCTATAAACTCATCAAAAAAAATATTGAGGTTTCCGTGGCTAGAGTGAAGATTATATTGGGCTTTGGCATCAAGACTTACGTGAATTAGGTGTTTACTAGTCAGAACCTGTTGTTTTATAAATAAGGGATGTTCAGTTGTGAAAGGTAACGGTGATGACCAACTTGTAAAATGCTGACTGCATGGTTGTTAGCAGTACTTTATGTGAAATTCAGGTCAGCAACCAAAATCAGCGCAATGTATTTTTCTGGTTCTTTTTATATAATGATAATAGGGTCATAAACATTTTGATTTTGTCTTTTCATTGGCAAAAAGTGTTTTATAAGTGTGGCATTCACCTAAACTATTTGTTTTCATAGTTCTTGGGGTTTCAGAATAGCTGATTTATTCATCTATCTGATGCTCGTTAAGTTGGATTACTCTTACGTCATGCAGTCTTTTCTGTTGCAGCTAAAACATCCAGCCTGTGGTGCTGCATTTTATTCTCAAAATTTTAGCAACTGAGTCAGCTAGTGGGCAGGAAGACTTCTGCTGCAACTCAAAGGCCTGCCACGCTGTCTCATAGCCTTTAAAAAGTAGGAGGCATCTTTGAGGGAAGAACAGCTGTTTAGAAACAGAACTTCCCTTTTTCTGCCAGCAGACTAATACATCATCCATAGTGTAGTGTTTGTTGGTATATTCTTTTAAGGGAATTACATGAGCCAAATAGTTCTAGTGTTGGTCCATTTGCTACTGACAAGTGGAAATATTTGTCAGGAACATGGGGAGAAGTTGCAGCCTACTTCTGTCTCTTTATAGAGGATTTGTCTTTTCCCTTCTTTTTTTCCCCCATGAAGGAAAAGAGAAAATTGGATAGAAATTGCAATCACTTGGGAGCACCAGCTCTCTTAAGAAGAGCAGCTTCTGTAGCAGAGTGATTTCCAGCTCCCACCCCCTTTGATTTTGGGAGCAAAGATGATGTAAACTGTGTGAGGGAGAACTGTGATAATTGGAAGGGTGACAGAAAATGTTTGGGGAGTGAAAGTGTGCTAGTGCGAACCATTTGCTGTATGTATAGGAATAAGCAGTAGGAATTCCAATTTAGAGATACATCCCACATCCTTCTGGTCTCCTTTGACTAAAATATTTCTGAATGAAATAAAAGGGATTTCTTTCTTCAAATATATTTTCTCTTGTTCTGTATTTTAGATCTATTTTGTTCTAATTGACCTTTAGTTTGTTGTAAACTATCCCTAATTCACACAAGAATAAGTCAAAAAAAGAAGATATTTACTCACTTTAGGGTTGGTTGGTTTTCTTTTTATTGGTTTTGGTTAGGTTTTTTTTTTTTGTTACAGTACGCACATAGATACAGGATGTCATATTTAATTTGCTTGCATAACTTTTCCTTTTTTTGTGCTGTTGCATAATGGCAACTTTATGGACTGAAGGTAGGTATCACTCTATTGTTTTCACTGTTAGTGTGTTTCTAAATTGGTATCTGTATCCTTTTTAGAACTGAGGGAAGATGGTTTCCAGCCTCCAAGCTATTTAGTGCAAGGAGTGAAGGCTTTACTTACTGCTTTAAAATTATGGATGAAAAAAGAAGTAAGTATAAGTGATTTTGTTTGCTATTTTGGTGAACTCTGTTTTGATTTAGAAGTAAGTGAAGGTCTGTGCCCTTTTAAAGTTTAAGATTATTTTTATCTGTTAATGAGAACCGGAAGATTCTATGGAGAGTACATCCTGCTGATCTGGGGAAGAATCATCATGACAATTTTACATTCCATGATGCTAATAAAGTCTTTTTAGACCAATTAATCAGCTCCTGTATTGTAGCTGATAGAATCTTGTTTCACCTCAAGATGGGGTAGGAATGCTAGAGGGTAAGCTGATAAGGTGGGGCTTTTTTTCTAACATACCTGTTTGTATAGTTGATTCATCCTAATCTGAGCCAATGGAGGGATGGAATGCCCTGATATTTAGCATTTTCCATTAACGTCAGAGGACATTTCAGGTACACCTGTATTGCTGAAGAGTTTTTTAGATTC